GAGCCAACTTCCAATTTTCCGGTAATTTGCCTCGGCTAAGCGAGTGTGAAAACATCACGCTAAGCGGCGTTGCCAGGATTGAGGCTGCCTCCCTCAGTATGGCAGGATGAACCATATCCGGGCCAGGAGAAGTGTCAAGTCTTAAGTGCTGCAATTTCCGGAACACCAAGTCAGCGCTTAGGTCCACTTCAGAAAGTCCTGTGGAATTGCAGATGAAACTGTCGTCAATAAAGTTGATGTCAGCCGGTTGAAATGTTTGAGAGTAATGTGCCGCCAGAAGGTTAGCGGCGTCGCCATCGTTGTTGGTCGGGCCGTTAAGACCTAGCAGTTGAGAAACTCCTGTTTTGGCTTGACGAAGAGAGGCTGCATAACGGAATAGGCTTCTAGGGTTAGAGGCGAATTTGTCCATAAGCTTTGTTTGGTACTGAAGCCTGTCTTCTCTTATAGCCTTCGTGCATATGTTCCTGATATGTTTATATTGCCTATACGCTCCATCGTTATTAGTTTGTTTGTATTCCGCCCAACAGTGCCTTTTGCGGCTTAGCAGGCGAAGGGTACGGTTCTTGATTACTGTAGGTGGCTTGCAGCTTTTGGGAACCGTTTGAGGAACTGAATGGTCTGTAGCACATAAGAGCGTGTGCAGTAAGAAGTCCCAATGACCATCCATATCGAGTTGAGGGTGAACATCCCAAACCACCTGTTGTAGATAGTCATGTAGAGCTGGCACATTCAGCCGTTTAAAATTCCAACGCAAATTATTGTTGGGATACCTTAGCTTAGTTTTGATGACAAAACTGAAGGCTATGACGGCATGATCGCTCTTTCCCAGAGGAGCCAGGATTGAGAGGTTGTCGACTAGGAATTCTTCGTTAGTGAATACACAGTCTAAGCGCGATGGTGTCTGACTGTTTCTCCAACGAGTTGCCGACCTCACGTTTTCATATAAGCCCAAGTTATCGATGAGGTTGAAGAACCGAGCTTCAGTTGAGTTGTCGCCTCCAGTGTACGTGTGTTCCGCGAAGTTGACTCTAGGGAGATTAAAGTCCCCTAGAATCAGGATGTGTGTGAAACCGAGACGGATAGAGCGGGATAGTCCTTCCAGCATACGACTATCGTACTCGGTGTCGGCAGTTGGCTTCCTGTAAATGACTCCGACTAGACACCTGGAAGTACTAGACAATCTTACAGAGCACCATATGGATTCCTCAAGATTGTTAAACTCGAGGTTGTGAATCTGGTGCACCTCCAAGCAAGAGCTTATGTATATGGCTACTCCGCCCCCAATTCTTGTTTTTCTCTCGTTGCGGAACAAAGTCATCCCAGGTAATGCTAACTCTTGGTCCGAGAACTGAGAAGATATCCAGGTTTCAGATATTCCTATCAGATGGGCCTTATTAGCTTTGATAAGTTCACGTAGTTCATCCAGTTTGTTTGGTAGACTCGCGGCGTTCATATATAAGCAGTTTATGCTTTCAATTTGGAACGCGTGAGCTTCGTCCTGTTTTTCTGTATGAACCTTATGTGAATGGACAGGTAGCCCACCTATATGAGGTTTGCCGAGGTGGTAGGCCCTGTCCTTTACATGTTTTTTTATCGTTTAGACAGTCCACAAGTGGAATGGTCAGCTCCAACTTGCCTTTGTTCTTGGTCCTAACTTCGTATGGCCTATCCGGGTGCATGTGGATTCCAGGTGGCAATCGACGTCTGTTAGCACGAAATGCTTCCAGAACTGCAGCCGCCACGTGGGAAGATGGGAAGGTTATCTTCATTAGACGGGGTCTAAGATCACCGTCCTTCTTGGCTAGTCTCGTCACATGCTGAGTCAGTATGTGTTTGAGCCTCAAGGACTGTTTGATGAATTTCCATTCCCTGATGTCAGAATTTGATTGAGTAGGGTCTGCATTTTCCGGTATACCTTGGACAATTATGTTTCTTCCGCGGAAAAACTTCTCGCGAGATTCTTTAGGGACGTTTCGTATGATATTGCGCTCAGAGTACGGTATGTCGGGCAATATTCTTACGTTACCATCTGATTTCAGCAAGTGACTTGCTGGCAAGACGTTCTCTACGTCGGTAGCATTCTTAAGTGTTACTCGGAGAAGCCTCGGGTGATTTAGATGCTTAGAATCCTTTCCTCGAGTGAGCCGGGTGACCGTCAAAGGCTCTATTCTAGGAAGTTCGAGCTTCTTGTTCAATTCACCCCACAGCATCCTGTCGTTTTTGTCCTGCAGACTGAGAGGAAGATCAGGATTGTCAACGAGGTTCATGATAATGAGAGAATCGTCACGAACTGTTGTTAATTTACCAGGTTTCACGATGGGTTCAGGTTTAATAACTTGTTGTTTGGAGGTCAGTGTGCGTTTATGAATCTTGGGCTCTTTATTGACCGGACGAACAGTCTTGGGGGTAGACTGTGCGACTAAATCACTAGTTATTTTCCGTGCAGCAACACTTGGGTTGCTCGGCTTAGGCGGTGATGCCTGGTTCTTTTGGGCTCTCTTAACGTGGGTCAAATCACCTGCAAGGTTTTTGGGAACCACTGTTGTGTTCAGGGACCCTGAGCTGGGAGACCCGAGTTTGCCTAGGGAGTTCAGTACCGTCGACGTAATGATGGTACTGAGCCTCGACACGTCATTAGTATTGATGGATGCTCCATCGATGGTATACCTATCGACATCCCTATTTTTGAGTCCGTTGCACGCTCTTGTTTGTATATCGGTTTTTTTACTGTCGTATTCCAAGTTAACTGACAGCTTGTTCCGAAGACCTGTCAGTAGGACAATGATGTTACTCAGCAAGACTACTGCGTCCGTGGTGCACGTGATTTGAGTTTGGCCAGTACGTTGTCTTTGTGTTAGCTTTATTTTAAAAGATATTTATCCAATACATAGTCAGCTACATTTCTCTGTGTTGAGGTTAAAGTTTCAGCGCTTACATTAGTTATCTATCTGGTTGAGTTCATTCTGGATTGTTTGCGTAATACTTTGTATGTTGCAAATATCTTCTTTATAGACAACTTTCAAGTTACCAGCGTAAGCGTAAGTTTTACCCGTGTTGAATTACCTGCATATATTGTTGATGTAGGTTGTAAGAAGCAATGAACCCAAGATACTGCCCTGCACAACACCACTGGCTAGTGGTCAGGGTATAAATGCTGTAGAATTAATTCTAATCCTTTTGGTATCTGTTTGTGAGAAAAGAACTGATCTATTGCAACAGATGACTAGTAATTCCAACGGATTAAAGTCTGTCGACTAAGAGGTTATGAAGTACCTTATCAAAAGTTGTCTTGATATCGAAACAAACACTAGTTGTTTTTGGTCATGTATGCGAGTTATCTCGTTAAAGAAGCCTATCAAGCATATGGATCGAAATCTTGTTCTTATGAAATCGTGTTCTGACGGGTGGACTGGGCTTTTTTGAGTAGGTGGTCAGATAATTCATCTCATATCACTTTTTCCATTACGCGTCATATGATTGGGGTGATATTTATAGGTTTGTATTTCTAGATCAAATTTTTTGGTCCTGATTTGTGTATGGGTGCAACATACGCTATCTTCCAAGTTTCGGAGTATGTATCTGCTTCTAAGAATGACGTGAATATTTTGAGTAATAGTGTTCTTATGTTCGGTCCTACCATTCTTTTAAAGAATCAATAGGATATCATCTGCATCAGAACTTGCATTCAACTTAAGGGTTTGGTGAAGGCGTGTATATTAATGAGTGATGAGTTACTAATACTATGATTATTTTTGCTGGTGCATTTGATATTAATATCTGGGACATGAGATTTATTCCCATAGTGGGAAAACCATCCACTTAGTAGTTCACATATGACGGTTAGGACATAATACGTCGCACCATCGTACAGTATGGGGTGCCATTTTGGACATAATATAGTACTATTTGGTGGTGACATTGAACATTTCTAATGTTTCTGAAGGCTTATCACTAGTAAAGAGACTACTCCAGTCAGAGAGCTTTATTAGAAATCGAGTTTCCCTAGTCATTGTGAGCATAGTCTGTATATTGAAAATGTGTTGTTGTTGTCTTGGATTTGTTGCACTTTGCAAGAAACAGTAGAGTGAATAAGACTATTTTACGATCACTGTTGTTAAACTTTTCGCCAACCACTTCATACGTCGGTGTGACATTATGACAGGATATCAAGTCGAGAGCATTGCTGTTGAAATCACCACAAGTAATTTTGTATACGAAATCAAGGGAGGCAGCCGTAACAAATCACTCACTTATAGCAGTGTCAGTTGAACTAGGAGTGTTTGGGGCTGTATATACACATCCAGTTAGTTAAATTCTTTCCTCATAGGTGTACTAAAAGCTCTATTGCTACTTTAGTCTTTATCTTTCGAATCCCTCCTAACATCCTTTCATGATATACCTTCACATTCTGTTTATCAAACTGTATTTTGTGTCTTCAGTTTCTTTTTGTCATGATTACTACTTTATTTCAATGTCTTGTTATTGTTTCTTATGTCTATATGTGCTAATTCCATCGTAATATGTTTTACCTTTGGTTGTATAGGTTAGAAATTGGTTTATCTCACTATCATAGTTAAAAGTCATTGAGCGGATTTCCGTAAGTATTGATCGTGTATCAAAAAAGGCAGGAAGTAATGACATATAAATTAACAGTAAGCACATAGTCAGTCAGTAACAACATAGAATTTCGTACGTACGTACATCAGTTCGAGTCGCCATAACACATTATCACAAAGATATAGTTTTCCATTGAAATCCCATAGTGTTAGAGGTAGTAAGAGGATAAGGAGTAACCGGAAAGATTAGGGTTAGTAGATGTTATTCACATAGTATAATCCAGTGAAATAAATTTGGGAAGCGAAAAAAGGGACAAGTAAGCACATAGATCTTTTACTGAACTAACTTGTAGTGAGTGATGTTATCTTAACTAATTGGTTATCATTATTATTATTATTACTAACGTTTAGCTGTTATCCTGTGTATTCTAAACGGGTATTTTCATGAATCCAATTGATACTAACCATATCCTCAACAACAACAATAACAATCTAGACCTATTTTCACAATGTACTAGAAAATTTTGTGGTCAAATATCTAATACAAGTTTATGTACATCATGTTCATGGGGATCAAAAGTATTTTATAAATACAATAATCCATATAATCATATATGTGAATTATGTTTAACATCATTCACACTATACAATTGGTTATATATTGGATTTATAATGATTTTACCTATTCTATTTTTATTACAAATTTTACCAATATTATCATTAACAAAAATTGATTTGAAACATTTAGAACAATCGATTACTACTACTACTACTAATAGTAGTAGTATCAGTAGTATTAATACTACTACAACTACTACTCATCAAATGAGTATTACTCAAAAATCATGGTTATTATTTCTATGTTGTATTAGTATTCATTTATTCACAAGTTTAATCATTATATTATTATATCCTCCATTAGGTAGTTTTACATTATATCATTGTCCTATAGATAATATTAAAGAATTTTATCCTATTCTATATGCTGGATCAGGATGTATATCAGAAGTGAATTATCCATTGACTTCATTACCTATTCTATATTATATCATTAATGTCATCATTAGTTTATTGATTTATTCATTAGTAATTATGATTGTATTTAAGGATTATCATTGGTTTCATTATCTTTATTATATATTATATGCTTATCCAATAATGTGTATGAGTATTATTCTATTTGGTGGAATATTATATTATATATATCCTTATGTGATATTATTCTATAGTATATTTGATTCATTATATCGATTTCCATTAATATTTGATTATTGTATAGATAATATAGACGGTATCCTACGTCCTATATGTAATCCATATAAACTTATTAAGACTATTCTATATAAACCAGAACAATATCTACTTATTATAATCATGAATTCATTCTATATTGGATATGCTTTATTAGCATTAAATATAACCATCTATTATTGGTATATAAGTTTAATGAGTTTACCATTTATATTTTATCTGATAACATTACCATTAACTCATCCATTTCATTATGATGATTGTCAACAAACATTGAATAGAATGTGTCATATTTCATTTTTGAATAATAAAGAAGAAGAAGAAGAAGAAGAAACAAAGTGAAGCGGATCAATCATAAGTAAAGACTGTCATTTATGGACGCGATCTTTTGAATGATGCTATAAAATGATGATATTGAATATGTTCACTTCATGAATTGAACCAAAATGAACCAATGTGTGAAGAATTAGAATTATGATTTGCAGTTGATAGTTGTTAAGGGTGTTCATCATCATCAACTAATGTCAAAACTTTATTTAGCGAAATGGATGGAGTGAATTTTGTGCCAAAATCCGAGATCTATTATCTTAGTTCGTTCATAAATTATAGTCTCACCCGAGCTTTTTTATGATTAGAAATACAAATACATGAAATGTCGACTAAGATATATATGTATACCTTAGTTCAAATGTGTACTTCTCTCATCATTTTACCATTTATTATCCTGTAATAGATAGATATCCAATTCATATCTATATATCTATATATATATGTGTGTGTTTGCCTATAGTACACAAGGATCATTTTCAAAATTATTCAATCTATATTATACTTATAACATTTAAACTGGGTTACGTTTATTCTATTTTATTACTTGTTTGAATATTCTTAACAATACAAGTTAGAAAAAATGCTCTTTTTTATAAAAATCATTATAGAAGAAAACTACTCAGTCAGTCAGTCAGTAACAACGTAGAACTTCGTACGTACGTACATCAGTTCGAGTTGCTACTAATATTACTGTATAATTATTAGTTGTGATGTATGAAGAAGCTGGAAAACTGGGGGGGGGATACTAGTCGACGAAGTCATTAACAGTTGAGCATAAGCAATTATTAGTTGTGATGTATGAAGAAGCTGGAAAACTGGGGGGGATACTAGTCGACAATTGAGCATAATCAATTATCAGTTGTTTTTTTTATTAAAAAAAAACACACCTTTATACTATCTTGTTCGATTTTGTCAGGTTACTGTTTGGTAGTTATGTTATTGAACCTAATAAGTATTCTATGTTCCCTGCTTATTACAATAGCATCTTTGATAAAGTCTTGCTGTTGGTTTTCTGAAATATGGTAACAATTACCGTGTTATTGAGCTCACGAACCAACCTAAGTTAGGCAACTATTAATAACTAGAAAGCACCAAAAATCTGTTTTGTCCTGGTGTGGGAGTCTGACAATTGGCATACAAAAACCCAGCTACCTGGAATCTACCTCAGAAATATTGGTATCTCGCAGCTCAAGCTTAAAATTTTGATTATGTTGTCGGCATCTATTGACTTACATGTCTAATTTCAATCAATATGCGGTATTGCACAACCATCTTCCATTATCTTCGATAGTTAAATGCCTTATACCTTATGATTGGACTGTACTAGTCACAATTCTGAGAATTTCCTTTTGAAGTTATTCACCAGTGAACATATGTTAAGTAATAGAATAGGGATTTGTGGAGATTGTTTAATGTTATTGAATGGTTAAGTTTGAAAATTGCCAGCGTTTTAGTGAGAAGCCGTGACCAGTTAGTAATTTTATAATGAACTGTAATGATGAACGACCATATATAATGTTTAATGTATGTGTATACATCAAGTTCATTAATAAACAAATCGTACAAAGTGAATGTCTGAACGAGTTACCGAGAAAATAAAATTTGGATCTCATTGTTTTAAGGTTCGAAATAGTTTTTGAATAAGAAATGAACGTCATACAAGTGAATCTAGGTAAGATTACTTCTATAATTAGTCTTGTTGAAATGCAAGTGCAAATTATCTGACTTATCAAGCGATAGTTAAGTAAGTTTTAGAAAATATCATTCGGATTTATGAATGAAACAGTATCCCTGTCCGATTTTATTTTTAGATGAACTTGACAATTGACTATCGACAAGTACCAACCAAAAATGTCTTAAACGGTGCTGTAGTCATTCGGTTACCTGTTCAGGTTTCCTCTGTTCATAAATTAGACTTAATGCAAAAATGAAATAACAATAAACAACCAGTATACGAACTGTCGCGACATAATCTATTTATCCTACTAGGGATGGATTTCATGGTACACTACTAGTGTTCAGTGTTGCGAGCAATGTCACTGTTTACAGTATTGGGCATGGTAATAACAAACAGCCAAAAATTGCACCGATATTACGCATATAGTATGCTAAGGATTAATTTAATTAATTAAATGAGGAATTAGAGGTATTTGTCAATCAATTCACCTCTAAGCATTTTTCCATTGAGGACAACTGATTATAGAATAAACTACGTATCGTGTTCTAGTAGATACTAACAGTTATGTGGCTGAAATTCACATATCACATAAGAGTCAGTTCAACAGTTTAAAAATTTTCTTGATACTCATAGTGATTGTGATGCCTCTGTGGTTCTCACACTTGCTATAGCCTTTCTTTGATATCTTTCTTTCCAGTCTGTCGGCACTTGTTCTTACTCCCAAATCTTCCTGAATAGAACATGAAGCATACTTGCAGTTACTTCTATGTCTGACTTCAGCTGATATGTTGTCTGGTCCTGCTGTTTCCCGCTCTTGATTTGTCTGATGGCCATGCTGACTACTTTGATCGTTGGTGGAGTGACATCTATGGGAAAGTCTGTAGGTGCTGCTTCAATATCCGTTGCGTTCACTGGGGCTGGTCACTAATAGGCGGTAAGTGTGAATGGGTAGCTCATCAGTGTTAAACGTAACGAGAATATTTCATGTATACAGTATTATCGGTTGAGGTAAGTAACTTCCAGAACTAGTTAGAAACTTTCTAGTCTTAACGTACATTCATTAATACTGTGGTGCAAGCTATTTATGTTGACATATATAAGTGGTATGTAACAGCGATCAGAGGTGAAATGCCTTTCAAAAGAAGGTTGAGCTGAAGAAAGTAGAAAGGAATTGAGAAATGAAAGAATCATGTACAATCTGAAGGACAAATGATGGAAGATGTGCAAATAAAGTATTTAATGTATGGTTTTCATAATTTACGAAGACACTGTAATTTCGAGCTATAAAATAGATTGATTTTCTCCACCTGAGTTCTCGTTCACTACAATATAATGGTATGAAATTAATCCGAAATGGAAATTGCACAAATGGATGGTATGGAATGAATAAGAGATGAAGAGAAAGGGAGGATGTTCAGGGTTCCATGGTATGTTAATGATATCAGAAATCTTAAATGGTCGTTAGAAAAACAAGACAAAATATTTATTCACACAGATACAAGTTTTAATTCGTTTCCTCCAGTTGCATAATTGATTTTTTGCCAATAATCTGTATATAACCATGTTTCCCGGTCATTACTTACTTATTCCTGTTACCCCTCACGAAGGAGCGTGGGCCGCCCACCAGCATTCTCCATCCAACTTTGTCCTGGGCAATCCTTTCCAGTTGATATTCATCCATTTGATGTTTGTTTCCGATTCTCGATGAACTATGCTCTTTGAAATCCCTCTATTTCGTTTCGCTTCGCGATTCAAAACGAGAGCGGTTTGGTTATTTCCACAATGTACGCTATATCCATTTTCAGCGTCTTTTCCTAATTTCCTTTCCAGCTGGAAGTTGGTTTGTACGCTGCTGCTGATAATATTCGACCAACGGACATTGAGTATCTTATGTAGACGATTGTTTATGAACACTTGTACTTTTTCGATGATGGTTGTAGTAGCTCTCCAAGATTCAGCTCCCTACAGTAGAACTGTCTTGACGTCTGTATTCAAGATTGTGACTTCGATATTGGTTGTTAGTTATTTTGAGTTCCATATGTCCAACTGTAGGAATGCGGCCGTTGCCTTGTCAATTTTTGCATTTATATTTTCAAATCCTCCATCGATGATGCTGTCCAGGTACGTGGAACTTTCCACCTCTTCCAGGGTTTCTACATCAAGTGTGATTTCCCGGTCAGTTTCATTATATTAAGTTGTAAGTGAGCCTGATTAGTTCTCATAAACCAAGCGTCAGACAAGCTCACGAGAAACATTGAAGTTGTCAGTCACAGCACCTGCGCAACATCAAGTCTCATTATATTTTTCCTTGTTGTTGATTTATGTATATATTTTTCGAAATATGGTAACAGTGGCCATGTTATTGAGATCACAAAGCAACCTAAGTTAGATAACTACTAAAAGCACCGGAAAGCTTTTTTTCTGGTGCAGTGAACCAGCTGCTTTGAATTGAACCCAGAGCCTCACGGCTCAACTCGTTGGTCATGGAGCCGGCATCCATTGGTTTACATATCTAATTTCAGTCAATAAGGGTTATTGTGTAACCATTTTCAATTATTCTCGGTGGTTAAATGCCTTATACTCGACACGATGGCTTTAGGAAATGCCATTCGGATTTATAGGTGAACCAAACAGACCATAAAATAACATTTGTGCAAGACCAAGCCAAAAAGTGTCTGCGACTGTGGGAGACTAGTCAATGAACTGGGTATAAATTAAGAATGGAAAATCGTATAATAATAGTCTATAGGTCAAAACAGATATACATAATCTAGTTATTTAGCAATTATACAATAAATATACATGTATAGTATTAGCATACAAATAGGTTGCAACAGTTACTATTCATTATTCTCGTCGAGATATAACATCCAGCTTGGGTCCAATGGGTTTCACTGATTCAGAGCACTACCAAGTTGCATCTCCTCATTTCTGCAGCTATTTGACTAGTCCTTCCGGTTTCCCATATTGTCCGAACATTCCATGTACCTATAATAATGGTTTTTCTAGTTGTTATAAAGGGAATCAGACTCGAAGAATCTCGGCTCTCATCATGAGACGTCATAATTCTTCCTTCAACTCCGAGTGTTTATTTTGGTTAGCGTTTTTTAGCAAGGTTTTTTCTATGGGATGGGGTTGCTAACCTCTTGCCCAACTATTCTCGTTTACTCGGGCTTGCGATCGACAGTAACCTTAGAAGAGCTACTGATGGAGTTTTAATACGCAAGAATCCGATCTGATGTAGTCAGTGACGATAATTCAGTTGGAGTCACAATCTTCAAGCATCGACAATCGGTGGCTTGGACATGTACTACGAATGTCATCCAAGCAGATTCCACATTGTGCACTATTTGTTGATGGTCGGACTGGTTGTATAAAGCGAAGGTGGCCAGTGTATGATATCTGTTTGTCTTTCACAGATCTAGTGGCTTGAGACGCTAATAAACATGACCCAGAATAGAAGCCAGTAGCAGTCCTGGCGTAACTTCATATAAGTGAGAGGAAATTGTTTATTTAAAAGAATCCATTATGATTGTATGTTTCTTAATTGAAATGCTTCTCCTATCATCACTAATTTTTTAATACTTTTTGGTTACCTTCCTTTCTCTATCTCTTTCTTACTATGTGGTACAGATATTTTGGTACCCCTCTTTGTCCCAACATTTGTGTTTAAATAGATAATCCAAGTCAGATCTTAATTGATTAGCGAGAAAGTGATCCACAAAACGTTCACTTCTCCTGATAATAAGCATGGGAATTGATTATCATAAAAAACCTATTCTTTTACCTAGTAGTCTATTCTGTAAAATTCATTCATTTTTTGCAGTTTGTGTAAATAGTTTTATCTCACAAACAGGTTTCTTTTGTTTTTCACTCCAAACGCATTGTATCCATCGAATTTTACCATCTAGTGTTCAGTACTCGTTTATCAAGTGATAACACATACAATCCGTAGTACTAACCTCAATTAATTATGAATCAGATGGGTTTTGTGGATATTATAGTAATCATGAGTCATGATCTTAACCATTGAAATTACTATAATATCCACAAAACCCATCTGATATTAATCAACATATGCTTCACGAGTTATATCCTGGAGTCCTATTGAGAAGTAGTGACCAGTGGAGTTCAACCAGGTCTGTTGTGAGATAGTAACTCACTGATGACAATGGTAGATGTGTCGCTCAATTTTGTGGATTAGTTGAAGTTAGACATTAAAACCATTGGATACCGGCCGGCTCAGTGGTTAAGTGCTCGCGCGTGAAACCAGTAGGCCCTGGGTTCGAATCTCGCAGGGGGCGAGGTCGTGGATTCGCACTGCCGAGGAGTCCCACAGTAGAACGAAACGGCCGTTCAGTGCTTCCAGGTTTTCCATGGTGGTCTAGCTTGTAATTATGAATTATTTGAATAAAAAGGTATTAATGAGATCCCATTTACTTATGTAAGTACAATGAATTATTACAATTATTTATAATAATTATATTTAATGAAATCACAAATGATAGAATGAAGATAATTTGATAGTTTACAGACAAAAAGCAAACAAACAGATGAACTACTACTAGTGAGTAGTACTTTTGAGAATGAAAGACAAATTGAAAACGGTTAAAGTTTATTAGAGCTTACTTAACTGAAGGTATTTGTTTATAAAAGAAATCATTTGTTTATTATATCGAAGGAATGAAACTTTTCTTTTGTGAAAAACAGAACAAAACCCATCTTGATAGCATATCTTTCATTTTCATGAATAAAATGGTTCTCAGGATTCCTAGCTGAAGAGAGAAAATAAAATCGATTACAATTTAATGACGGGATACTAATGAAAAAGTTTAAAAACAAGGATCATTTGATGTATGTATACGTAACATGAGGTTGGTGGTTAATATCGCGGAGAAAAGTGAGGAATAACCATACAATTGAGTAAATACTTATTTACCCTTACAGTAAAGGTAGTTATTATGATTATCAAACAACTGATGTGAAGTAGAATGCATACTTCCTGGATGAAATTCTCTGTGAAACCGTTCCTTTCTTGTTCATTAATCTGGATATACTACGCATAAAACGATAACCAGTGATTATTTGAACACAAATGCTAATCACTTTTAACATGGTGTACATCTAGGTTGCTAAATGTCCTGGTTAGGTCAAGTTTGGGAAGAGTCCTCGCCGAATTTTCTTGCATGGTCACACGTACGTACATACTACTACATATCCATTACCAAAGACGTTCTTCCCGCAGCAGGAGTGTTGTTTATGAAATTGAGAGGAGAAAAAGCCAATATTTAATGGAGGCTTAAACCGGGTTGGTGGAGAAGAAGGATCCATCTAAGAGAGTTGGAAAATCTTGATTCCAGACCAATGATACACATGGACTTCATGACCATTTAGGGACAAATTGTGTGTGAACTTATTTTCGATCACCGACTACCATGGTACCGCACCTACTAACGTTGGCCCAATGTCTTGTGGATAAGACCTCTAGGTCAAAGGCTAGGTCGTTAGTGCCCCCCCCTGAGGAAACTGCCTGCCTTGGTTTGGGCACCTGGGCATTATCCCAGCCCATACACAAATTTAGTGATAATTACTTTGTGTGGTGCATATATATTTTGGTACTTCACTGTATCAATGTTTATGTGTTTAAATAAATAAGAAAACTTAATCAGATCTGAGAAACACACCATTTCTGTTTAGGATATCAATGAACGATAAAATAGAATTTATTCATATTGAGTTTCATCATTATCTTATTTAAATAGCAGTATTAATTATTGACCAGGTACTTGAAAATGAGCTACACTCTAAATGTAAAAGTTAACGATACTACAACCTAGTTGGGCAAGCTGAAGTAGGTGGAGAGGAGTTTAAACTAAAGTCGAACGCCTTAATCACTAAGTCACCGCTCTACGACAGTACGATAAAATAAAACTATGAGAACAGTTCAAGTTTATGATAGAGATGAAAATCTACATTATGGTCATACATTAGAAACTGGTATAATGAGCTATACGAACTAATTCTTTCTTCCTCTACTATATCCTTATACACAATCTTTCTTTTATATATTACCACCACCTCTGAATTAACTACTTTTATGAATCTGGTGTTCATCTTGTTGTGTTAATGTGGTATGGCAACTTGGACCGATGTATATATGTGCCTGGTCCTACGTTGTAGCTGACTGACTGACATTGAAATGAAAAAAACAACAACATAAAACTTACCATTTTTTTTATGAAACCTACGGTTGTTATTGTTTTCTCTGAGTTGAGAGGGTGTTGTTTGATTGATCTGTATACACCATAGATTGAGAATCATTCATTGGATAAATTGGAACTACATTAGGAAAAAAAAGAGATGGATGAGGATGATGGAAGGGGTAGAGAGAGGAAACGGAAGAAAGCGATTTTTGAAACACACACGTATACTCTTTATACCTACCTCCATAATTGTTACTGCCAGATGGATATGATTGCATTTGTTGTGTAACAACATCAGGAGGTACTATTTGATTTGATTCATAAAACTGCTGTACAGGAAAGTGTTGAGATGATATTTGACCACTATGAAGATTATGAGGAAGATTACCACTGAAATTTTCTGTTTGTGGATTTGCATAAATTCCAGTTGACATAGGGTAAGAGTCAGTAGGAGGGAACATCACAGTTCCATTCAAATCTGTTGGCATAGTGAATCCATTCTAAAAGATGATATGTGAAAAATGTTTTATCGTTCAACTGAGTTAATCAAGGAGAAATTCAACATAGAATAACGTGCTTTGAATAAAAAGCACAAAGTTCTCTTGAAGAGACGTACAATCATGAAGGTGGTTGCAAAACTATAGAAGAAACACAATGATGAGCAAGATTTGGATGAAGATAATCGTTTATTAAATTGAATGAACATGATGATTGTGACATAGCATCAAGTATAATACTGTTAGAAGTGCAGTTTATTGTCAATTTGTACCCGACCTGAGTATCAGACATGGTTGTATTGACTAGATATTCACTCTTCACCAGGTTTTGAAACACAGACATACTTTCCAACGACCAACTATAGTGGCATTCTTTGACCTTATGGCAGGTTCGACTCTGTTAACTGCGAGGTTCTAAAGCACTATTATTAAAAGCCGTACCAAAGACTTTTTCAACTCTTCTAGATGGATCCTCCTTACCCATCAAACCGGTTTAAGCCCCCACTGGACATTTGCTTTTTCCCCTTTGAATTTCGTAAGAAACGCTCCTGCTGTGAAAAGTCAGCGAATGGGGCATGTACGTACGCGTGGCTATGTGAGTGTTCGGAGAGGGAGAGTGGATTATCCACACCCTCAGCTGTACCAGAGGACTTGGTGAAGTCCCGACTCCAATTTGTCGATCTTTCACTCTCAAATCAAACGGAACCTCTACAATATCTAGTATTCAGTGTGATGATTTTGAAGATCATTGATAGATATATCCATCCGTTACATAAATAAATTCCCAATAAAAATAATATAATATATAAATCAACACTCATGACAACAACAAAAACAAACATCATATTTCTGTCGCTCAACTAGTTATGTAGCAATAAAAATGAACAAGTGAATTATGGACCAAGGTGATCACGTAATAATAAGAATAAATAGTACATACATACCATAGGTACTGTAGATGCAGATTTAGTCATCGACGATGTTGGCTGGGTGTATGGATATATATTTGGAGTATTTGGTGGTAAATAAGGGATTGTTGGATTTATTGGGTTAGTCGTGGTGTTAGCAATAGTATTGGACATTCCAGTATAATAAGCATTTGACGGATTCTGACGTGACATGATATCATGATACAATTGAAATGCATCTAATAAACGTTGATTTAATTCTGTAAGCATAATAATTTCTTTATCAACTAATTTTAATTCAGGATCAACAAGTGGGACCATTGCTATACATTCTGCTTCAAGTTGACTTAATTCTGGTGGATCTTGTTGAAATTCACCAGTAGGATCTACAGTTGTAATTAGACGTAAACATTCATCGATTTTTTTCTCATCAAGTTGGGGGACAATTTTTTTGGTGGATTGGTTCTTTTTAACATCTGTATTGTGAGAAACTTCGCTTGAATTTGATTTAACATTATTTACTCCATCAAGTTCAGTTTCACGTTTGACAAATTGAGCAGGAAATAAACCTTGACCTTGATTATTGCTTCCAAGCCACCAGTTCTCATCGGAATCATCTAAGAGTAGAATAAGCTCTCCAGCTTTGAATGATAATTCATTGTCTTCAGCTGCTTCAAAGTCGTACAATGCTCTTACCTGTCCCTTTGAATTGCGAGGAGCAGTTGTTTTAGAGGCATTTGATGATGATGCTGGTGTCGAATAAGTTGAAAGTGAACTAAATGGAAGTTGAGAGCAGGAAGGATATAAACTAGACTTCTCATTTGAAGTGGTAATAGATTGTTTGTTTAGATGGGATGGTGTTGAACTGTCAGAATCTTTCAGTGATAAAGCAATAGCTATTGAAAGAATAAATAGAGATACGTAAAACTGGGATTAAAAAATTTACAACATATCTATTTCTGACAGAAGACCAAATATCATTGATCGCAAAACATGTAATGTACAGCACATAATGAAACTGAGCATTAGCGTTGATCAATTTTAAATTAACATTTTTCTGCAGATCTATTCATGAATATCCACAGATTGACTGTCTATCTGGGGACCCCGCATCATTTTAACCGGAAGTACATGGATGACACAGTTTTATATGAAGCTAATACAATGCAGTATTCAAATGCTTAGAATGACAGTGTAAGAATGTTCAGATAGTGCTTATCGCTACTAAAATCTAATCACAAATAAAAGAAGATTATTCAGTCAGTCATATGTAATATAGAACCTGACATATGTGTGCGTCAACTTAATTTGTCACATTACAATAGCCCAACAACAGAATATTATCAAGAATCATTAACAGTATCAGTAGTTGTAAAAAAAGCCATAAGATGTCGGGCTCCAAGAGATAAGAGTAAATGCACCTGCTCTGTTAACAACGATTTTGAACTTTTTCGTTTTAGGTCACATGAACACCAGCCAGGTTATCTATACCCAACTAAATGGTTGTGAAACTCTTAGTTATTGAAAAAATAAGTGGTAAAAGTCAAAATGATGTTGAGATGGTGGAGAAGATTTGTAGCTCAGGTGGATGATTTTGATGGAGTTTCGTTCTCTGAGCTGGATGGTTTGGTCGTGGAGCTTTCATCGTTCTTCTGAACGACATCATCAGCACAAACTTCAGATAGAAGTGAAGTGTTCGATTTTTTCCATATGTGTTTCACAGCTTGTTCTGTGCACCTCGATGTTGATTGGTTCTTGTTGACCTTAAATTTATCATTGTTCACTTCTTTGTTTTGGTTGTGTCTCCCATTGTTTTGATTTTTGTTCTGATTGGTTGATAGATTGGATTGATTTCAATATGTTTGTTGATTGCTGATTGACCTGAGTGCCAGGCCTCTAGAAATTCTCTGGTGTTTTTGGAGTTTCCTCTGTCTAAGATTTCTACATTTTCCCAATCGAATGAGTGTCCGTAGTTATCCACGTGTATTGAAATAAGTGAAGAGATATCATGGCGTTTGACTGCTAATTGATGTTCATGTAGGCGTAGGTGGAGGGGACGTCCGCTTTGTCCGATGTAGTGTTTGTCGCAGTTGGTACAATTTATTTTGTAGATAATGTTTGATTTGTTCTCCTTTGTTATTTCATCTTTTGGTTTGCATAAGATTGATTGTAGTGATTTTGTTGGTTTGTGTGCCACACCTATCCCGAAGGTTTTCAGCAGTCTCGTTGCAGTTTCTGATATTCCTTGTATGTACGGTAGGGTGATCCTTTTACTGATTTTTGTGCTTGACTTGGGTTGTGATGCTGTGTGCCGTTGGTGTTTTTTGATGAAGTTGATTGGGTAGCCGTTCTTTTGAAATATGTCCTCCAGGTATTTCTCTTCATTTCTTCGTGCTGCCAGTGTGCTGCAGTGTGTCCTCGCCCTCTTGAACAATGTGTGTACGCAGTTGATTTTGTGAGTCCTTGGGTTGTTGCTGTTGTAGTTGAGAATTTGATCTGTATGGGTTGGTTTCCTATATACTTGAGTTTCCAGTTTTCCTGTATCAGTTCTAGTGATCAATATATCCAAAAATGCTAGTTGGTTGTTTGACTCCTGTTCCATTGTGAACTTGATGTCATTGAAGACGTTGTTGATCAATTTGTATGTGTTTTCCAGTTCATCCTTTTTGACGATGACGAAGGTGTCGTCTACGTAGCGAATCCAAATTTTTGGCTTGATCACTGGTAATATCGTGGCCTCTAGTCTTTGCATCACTGCTTCTGCGATCAGTCCTGATATTGGTGATCCCAGCGCCGGACATTCGCTTTTTGTCCTCTCATTTTCGTAAACAACACCCCCTCCACGAGAAGGCAGTGAGTAGGACTTTCCTGGCAGAGGCTATATACGCGTGGCCATGTGAGAGCGGACTCTCCCCACTCTCGGCCGTACCAGGGAGTTTGGGGGCCCCCAAATCTTTGGAAACACTGAGTGAATAGGTATATGAATGAAAGAATACTGGAGTTCAAGGAAGACACTATTTGTGTTATAACGGATTGAATATTGAAGACATTGGAACTAATTTGCGGATTATCATTCACATTTTTATTGCATAATAATTAGATAACTGTGTTATTATTGCCTTCTACATTAAAATAATTATAAACTATTCATGGATCCATTAATTATCGTTGTATAATTTATTATTCCTTAGTTATAGTTGATTAGTGACCTAACTTTTTCTTACTTTCACTTTTGATATAGTTATGCTTGTGCTGTAATTTATCATTTATGTTGATGTACATATCAGGAAATAATTCCATACTATCGTAATGAGAGATTAATATAAGAAATGCAACTGCCTTATTGCGTGTTATATATTTAACTATGAAACTGAAAACTGGGCTAGAAGAAGGGTATACGTTCTAAAACTTATATAAGTTAAGATTGCCCCCAAATGCCCTGATATGGCAGAGAGTGGGGAGAGTCCGCTCTCCCTCTCGAAATGCTCTCTTATGGCCACGCGTATATAGCCTCTGCCAGGAAATTCCTACTCATTGCCTTCTCGTGGAGGGGGTGTTGTTTACGAAAATGAGAGGACGAAAAGCGAATGTCCGGCGCTTTAACCGGATCCCAAACCAAATCAATGGTGCACATGGGCTTCAGTAACCTGAGGGAATAAATAGCGTATGAACCAATTGTTGGTCACGGGCTTCCATGGGACTGCATCTCCTTACGATGCTCCACTGCCTTGTGGATTAGACCTTCAGGTCGAAGGCTCAGGGTGTGGACCCTTAAGAAAACCACCTGCTTTGGTTTGGGCACCTGGGCAGTATCACAGCCTTCACACATATCAAATGAGATTTGTGTGGCGCATATGTATTTGGTGCCTCCTTGTACCAATATTTATGTGTTAAAATAAAATAAATAAATAAATAAGTTAAGACTACTTCATTAGTGATCAAAGTTAACTCATAATAGCCTAGACATTTATCAAGTTAAGCAATTAGTCGATAGACGAACTAGCATACTTGAACTTGAGAAGAATAAATCAGAATTTCAACTGATTCATTTTTTCTCAAATTATTGAGCAGCATAACAATCTGTAACTTAGACGTTTCTTTGTGTTGATAAGTGTTGGGATATTCAGAAAAATATCCTAAAAATTATCCTGTTAAGTCTAAAGCTATCCTTGAACGTGAAATGGTGTCATTTTCCTATTGGTCAATATTCACGGTAGTCCTAACTGTATAAATATGCATTTTTCTGTAAATTCTTATTCTTCTCCTGACCCCATAAACAATTTTCATCTACGGTTCGTGTTCTGATATATTGGAGATTGGGAACAGTATGGGGGTCGTATTGGGATATCTGAAGTTGGTCAGTCGGTAGAAATTAGAGTAGCCACCCGGCGGTCCACAATAATAAGCTTTGAACATTTTTACACATATACAAAGATAAAGCTACATAAAGTTTATTGTAAATAGGATGATAATATATAATAAGGGGGAACTATTCAAATGAAGTTTATAATATAAAAGTTATTTACCTTGTGCTAGATCTTCTTCTTCTTTAGCTTGTAATTGTGCAACATGTTGGCGTGAAGGACCATGTTTAACTATCTGTTAAAGTAAAATACTAGGAGAGATAATTATTATGTCGTATACTTCCTTTACGAATAAAGTAATCAGTATGATGAAGACATGCATTACAACACACAATAGATTGTTTCTATGAATAACAGGATGAATATTGGAAAAAGTCAGAACTTTCAAGGCTATTTTTTAAATGATTTATATTTTTATTGCGTAACTAGTTGATAAATTTATCATCGTATCTCTATATTACTCGTATTTTAAACATTCAGTGCATCTATCAACTGTCATAATACATTTTATCATTCTTTAGTTATTGCTAATTATGTACTTTTGCTCCACCCTCTATTACTTTTCGGTATGATTGTGATTAAAGTGTGATTTCTTATTTTGTGTGCTATGTGGTTAAGCTCTTCAAGTAGATGATTGTGTGCTTTGAGTCATAATCTACCTATTATTCGCATATTCTGATTGGCAAGTGACTTGGGAGGAGCTCAAGGACCAATAAACATTAAGGTATCGTTGTTGTTCATTGGTCAATTAGTCAATAGGTCACCGGTTCTACCGGCAATATAATTGAACTAATCGAGAGTTTGAATTTTGATTTGAGAATATAGCACGTGATATCAATTAGTATTTGGAGCCATAATAAATTAGCGGTTACAAGACATAACAGTTTCCATAACTGGAACTTGAAAAATGGCATCGACAATATCCTATCATAATATTATTACAAGTCCGTGATATTTTGTTGACAGTTATTAACTAACATTAAACACAGATGGTTAGGATACCCAATCAAGTTGCGCTTTTCTACACTCGCTTGTTCATAGCTTGAACGATTAATTACAGCAGTAGGAGAAATGCACAATTGAGTATCCATAAGATTTCCCAAAAAGACACCTTAAACTAGTGATGAAAGTAAAATGAATATAACGTGGCATTTACGATTAGGTACCTGCAAAAACATTTGAATGCCTTCATTATTCAATGATTATGTTGTGCAAATAGAGTGAGAAAAATGTAGGTTACTGTGCAATACATTTATCTTGCGATAAGTATTTGAATATTTTAGATGTTAGAAATGATGTTAGTAAAAACCTCACCAACTTTTGAGCATTCATTAAGATTCTGGTGAGTAAAGTGATCTATATTCGCTAAATGATTTCATCTATTACTGTTACACTAGATGGTGATTCAGGTTAGTTGTGAGACAATATTCTTCAGTTTTCAAGGTAAGAAATGTATCTTAGATATGCTTATATTGTTATTTAAAGTATTGGAAATTCGGAATTTTGCTAGAGCTTACACCTAATAGTAGATACGTTATGAACTTTTGATAGGCTACAATGATTTAGTGCTAAAAGGCAGTTCACTAAATGTTCAAAAGAGACTGTCATTTGTAGTAGATCAATAAGGAAGGTAAATAGTAACTGACGGTAGGCCTCTTCAGTTAGTTAGTTAGTCAGTCAGTGTAAACCCAGGAATAAATGTACGCCAGCTCAAGTTGCCATATCAAGTTTAGTGAACACAACTTGAGAAAACCACTTACGACAATAATTCACTATTGAACTTTACCGAAACATACCTAAAATCAGTCTCAGTCAGTCAGTTGCAAATCAGGACCAGGCACATATATGCATCGGTACAAGTTGCCACACCTCATTAGCACAACAAGATAAACACTGGATTCATAGGAGTTAAGTCAATGGTGGTAATATATGAAAGAAAGATTGGGTATAAGGATATAGCACAGGAAGAAAGAAATAGTACGCATAAAGAAAGATATGAAGCGATTTTAATCTCTTAGTTTAATGGAAGACAGAGAGTGTATACACCTACGCCATTGTGATTGATTCTGAACCATGTCACCAAGAGTCTCCAAATATTGGTTACGATAGTCACGCGAACCACAACCAAGTAGTCTACATTTACCAACATGGCTAAGACTAGAAGTTAGTGACCTCAAGCACTGATGCCATATTGTGGTTTGGCCACTCCTAACTTTCTTCCATCCATCTACAACACTAATCAGCACTGCACGTCATGGTAATCGGAGTTCAGGCATACGCAGCACGTGGCCCAACTATCTCAGTCGATGAAGATTCACAACCTTATCAACTGATTTACTATCATCATTCCCTAATACTCTACGTCTAACCTCACTATTACTTACGTAGTATACTCGTCCCTTAATTGACAGACGAATATCTAGCGTTCACGATAGGTGACGTAAGTTGGCAAAAGTCAAACGTGCTTTTCGAATCCGTGCTGAGATTTCGTCAGACACCAACCCATTAAGGCTGATCAGACTTCCAAGATAAGTGAAGTTGTCGACGCGTTCGACTACTTCACTCCCTATCCTTAGTTCAGGTGTTGACGCAGACCAGTCCTGAAGCAACAACTTACATTTAGAGGAAGAGAAGCGCATCCCAAACATTCTGGCATTGTTCCTTAGTGCTACCAGAAAACTGCATTTTATCAGCGTCTTCACCAAACAGGACTATGTCATCTGCGTATTCTATGTCGATAAGTAGACTTCCTGGTAGGAGATCAATACCCGAGAACTCAGTCGACGAGAAAGTTATTTCCATCAGTAGATGTATGATGAAGTTAAACAAAAATGGGGAAAGTGGACAGCCTTGACGGACACCACTTGAGGTTGCAAAAGTAGATGACAGTTCGCCATAAGCTCTGACTCGACTAGTAGTGTTCGAGTAAAGAGCCTTTACAAGGTTTATGTACTTCTGGGGTACGCCTTTCAATGACAGACACTGCCATAGAATCTCGCCGTCTAACGAGTCAAATGCTGCTTTTAAGTCGAGAAAGACCACCATTGTCGGACGCCGATAAGTATGCCTGTGTTCTAGAATCTGACGAATGGTGAATATGTGGTCGATGCAGCCACGACCAGGTCTAAAGCCAGCTTGGTTCTCTCGTGCTTGCAGTTCACGAGTCTTAGTTAGGCGTCTGATAATTATCGAGGCTAGTATTTTAGATATTATATTAGTTAAACTAATCCCTCTGTGGTTGTCACAGGATGATTTTGACCCTTTCTTATATATTGGGACGATAAGTGATTGCGACCAGTCAGATGGAATAACGTCTAACTCCCAGATCTTAGCTAAAATATTAGTCAACCTAATCGCTAAAATTGGACCACCATCCTTAAAGACCTCTGGAGCCAGTCCACCTGGACCAGCTGCCTTTCCTCGTTTCAGACTAACTATAGCCTTTTGAACATCAGCAAGAGTTGGGGGACCTACTTCAATGTTCCATTCACACTGTCTGGGAATGGAGGGTAGTTGTAGAGTAACTGAAGGCCAGCTGAACTGTTCTCTGAAATGTTCCACCTATCGTTCTGAACGTCTGGACTGGGAGCAGATGAGAGTATCGTCTTTTTCCGATATAATCTCACTTACACTTGACTTATTAATTCCAGTTTCTTTTATTAATCTGTAAAGATGTCTTGTGTGAAGAAAAACAAAACACATAACAACCGAGATATTACTAAAATAGTTGTATATAAATAAACATGACAGTACAGGAACAGTCAGTCAGTTACAACGTAAGAGCAGGCAAATATATGCATCGATCCAAGTTGTCATACCTCATTAGCACAGCAAGATGAACATTGAATTCATAGAGGTAGTTAATTCAGCAGTGGTAATATATAATAGAAAGATTGAATATAAGGATGGATATAGTACTAGAAGAAAGAATTCATTTGTTAAAAAGTAATATATATGAAATGATTATAATCTCATGGGAACATTCTCTTAAACTAACTTGTCTTTCATTCATTGCTTGTTTCACAAGATCTGGATATTCAGTTTTAACCCAATTATAAAAACTAGCTGCTAATCTAAAAATGAAGAAGTCTATTCGAATGAATAATTAGAGAATATACGCTAATTCTGAATCATTTTTAAATTCAATTGACCATTTTTCAAAGATATCAATTAATTTAATAGATGGAATACGTTGTAAACTCTACAATGAAGTTACTTTGAATAAAATCAGAATTATGATTACCGAAAAATTTTTCTTAATTAATTGTGAAAAATCTTTTGAAGCTAATTCTCGATTAAATTGTTTGCCACAATTTTTACTGCATGCATCTAATAACTTTTATTTCGGGGGGGGGAAGGGAAGGGAGAGAGGGGGAGTTAGGGAATCATTTGTATAAATATGATAGGTTACTTACTGTTATAGATCGTATAGATACATTTGGATTTTTATGAAATATTCGTTTACATATTGTTTGAATACAAATTGCTGGCCTATGTAACTAGACAATTGAAAATGAAAAAAATTCTTACTCTTGTTTAGCGTATTTTTCACAAATTTCTAAAATTAAATCCCAATTATCTTGTGTATTTTTTTCTGATGTACACTTTTCTGTGTTAAAGAAATGAAGACAAAAACAAATGATAAGTATCAAAGAAATGTAAGGGTATTCATTGCAATTCACACTAAATAGTTGTATAGAAGAACTTATATGTGTATTCAATTTTTAAAGACAAGGAACAGGAAAGTTTTAAGAAGTGTTTGTATGAATGCCCCCCCAAATGCCCTAATATGACCGAGAGTGGGGAGAGTTAGCTTTCTTTCTCGAAATGCTCTCACATGGCCACGCGTGTATAGCCTCTGCCAGGGAAGTTCTACTTACTGCCTCCTCATACCATGGGTGTTGTTTACGAAATTGAAAGGACGAAAAACGAATGTCCGGTGCTTTAACCGCGTTGGTAGTTACGGAGGATCCATCTAGGAGAGTTGGAAAACCCTCATTCTAAACCAATGGTGCACATAGGCTCCAGCACCCTAAGGGAACACATGGTGCATGAACAAGTTGTTGGTCACCGGCTACCATGGGATTGCATCTTCTTGCGATGCTCCACTGCCTTGTGGATCAGACCTTTAGGTCAGTCTCTGAGTTTGGCCCCCTAAGAAAATCACCTGCTTCGGTTCGGGCACTCGGGGAGTATCACAGCTCTCACACAAATGAGATTTATGTGGCGCGAATGTATTTGGTGTCCTCTTGTACCATTATCTATGTGTTTAAATAAATAATATAATTAAATTCCATGAATGCTACTGACTATTTTTTACTAGAATTTCTATGAGGTTTTGTGGAGAAGCTGGTTATACTGTTTGTTGAGAATCTACGCCAAGGAAGTCATCAGTGGATTCTCTATATTCAGCTGTATTAACCAGTAGATAATGAAACAGATATAAAACCAATAGTCTCAATTTAATTCAAATGACTAGAAAACTGGAAGCCTAAGTTTAGGGAGTTTAAATAGGGTTTAGTCTTGTTAACTTTGCCACCTATTAACTTAAAGGCAGACAGACTCATCGATTTTAAGCATTATTAAGAAGCTGAAAAGTAATAAGAGAGAGGACTATGTTGTAGCATTTTCAGCTGAGTCTACGCTTAGTCGGATATTCGAAAACTCAGAATTAACTACAGCTAAAGCCGAGATCAAATGTTTTAGAACACTTATAATTAGTGTTTAAAAAATGTGTTTATTGGAGACACTTGAGACAAATAATTGGAACACCTAAAAATTTCAATTCTTAGAAGTGACTAACTGGAGGGATAAACCAGTCAGAATTTAGATAAAACAGTTGATTTTGTCAGGACTGAATAACATACCAACTCCATGAACAAAAATCTCATTAATACTTCGTTAAGCATATATTTCGACTTGGAAAAGTCACTTGACCCCATTATAGACAAATATTTCTTGGCCCTAGAGTTAGTTTTAGGTTAGAAAATGTCTTAAAGCCATCCTAAATTTCGTAATAAAATATGTCGTTGCTGTAAGGTTATCGCCTAGTAAATACTAAAGAAATGGCCTAAGTAAAACTTTGACATCGACTGAAGATTGACTAACAGTGTTTGAATACAAGCCCCCAGTAATTTGACTTAGGCAACAAACACTTTCCCGCGAGATACTTCTATCGGACCTGTTTATTAATGGCATTGACTATTTTTGGATAAGGATATATGGGTAACATCCTGTGATCAGAGTAATTGACCCAGGATGCAATGTAATCTAAACAGTCAAGTCCATGGTGAACGTGCAAACTGTTTACAAACCAGGAAGTTGTTAGAAAATATAATGGTGTGTGATTGTAGTCATAACTACTGTTGCAGAAAATCTATTAAAACCGGGCAGTTACTCGTTTGTTTAAATTAAGACTGAGGAAAATTTTCTTAGTTGTGTACTCGATGACAGACACGCAAGCTGTAGTGGAAGGACTAATGACTGCTACAGTGGTGTCTTGGGGGGTATGTTTAGGAGAATTATTACGGGAGCCCTCGTTGTTCGGGTGTCAGCAAAAGATGGAACTCATGTATTACTTTTCATTATTTAAGCGCAAAACCATTGGTACAAGGGGGTGCTAAATAAATATGCGACATACTTCGTCATTCGATTTGCGTGAGGGCTGGGATACTGCCCAAATGACTAGACAGAGGCAGGTGGTTTTCTCAGGAGCTCACCACTCGACCCTTTGACCTAGAGGTCTAACCCACAAGACAGTGGACCAACGTTAGGAGATGTAGTAACATGGTAGTAGTCAGTGATCAAGAATAGATTTACACAGTTTTTCCCAAATGATCCTGGAGCACCTGCGTATCATTGGCCTGGAATCAAGTTTTTACAACTCGCCGAGATCGGTCCTCAATACCCACCAATTCGGTTTAAGTCCCCAGTGGACATTTGCTTTTTGTTCTCTCAATTTCGTAGACAACACTCCTGCTGCGAGAAGACAATCAGTAGGACTTCCTTGACAATGGCTATGCACATGTACTCGTGTGAGAGCATTTAGAGAACAGACTCTTCACACCCTCGCCCGTACCAGGGCATTCGGCAGAAGTATGATAGAGGAAATTAAAAGACTGGAGAGATTTAAAGTCGCCTGGCCGAGACTTTGGTCCAACTAACTCAAAAATGATCAGGAACTATGATATATACCGGTGACTGGCGAGCCTCCAAGGGCCATCAAAGGTTTGGATACGATCATAAGACAGTTGTTTTGAAACACTGCTTCGTTGGCCCCACTACAAGAGGTTACGGTAATGATGGTGAAGATGTGTATGACTGTTTAAAGGAGTCTTGCTAGAGTCCTAAGGTTGCCAAGAAAGAGTATAAGCAGCCATATGAGGAGTCCTTGTTCAGAATGTTTCTTTGGTTTTAAAACAGATCCTATTAGGATTTGGGTTAAGATATCCTAAAAATTAGTAGACCCGTCAATGCTCCACGCCAGGTCCTGAAGTTTCACAGGTACAGGTAAACTATACACTCGGAAGACCCGAAAACTTTAGCACGTTCTAACCAATGCGACAGGGAATGCGAGTAAGTGATTCATAGTACAGAGCAAGAGATTTTTGAGAGGATACGTTAATTTAACACCATCAACGGGCATTTATAAGTTTATAACCCTTTACCGTGCTTTATTTATTTATTTGAACATATAAATATTGGTACAAAGGACCGTTGAGTACACATGCGTCACACAAATCACTTGATTTGTATGTACGAGTTTTATCCATTTTTCTGACACCTAATGTCAAAGGCTCACCTACTAGTTTTCCCAAACAAATACCTCTACGATATTCGTACCAGTTTACGATCAAAGTTGCAAATCAGTGTACTTCCTAACAATAAATTGTGGGTAAAAAATACTTTTGTCACCAGGAGACCATAATTTTAAAACGATCCCACATTTATCATAGAGTCAACTGTATGGCCCATCCTTAATGGTATTTCCTACGCGTGATATCACCGATTGCTTAAGCATAAATTTCTAGTACAGAAAAGTCAGTAACTATAGACCCGTTAGCTTGACTAGTGCGGTTGTAAAACTGATTGAAAAAATCATTCGGATATCTGTTATAAACTATGTTAAAGGATATAATCTTTTCTCCAGGACACAACATGGTTTTCGGAAAGGCCTATCTTGCTTGATAAATCTCCTCATTGCACGAGAAGAGTGGGCTGAGGCAAAGGATCGGAATGCTCCTGTGGATGTGATTTTCATATATCTAAATAAGGCCTTAGATAAGGTCTCCCATTCTGGTCTTAAATCCAAACTGGAACGTTTTAGAATCCATTAAACCGTCGTAGATTGGATAAGTAACTCCCTCCATGACAGGAGACAAAGGGTAAGGGTTAATGGAGCTCTTTCCCCGTGGGTACCCGTAAAAAGAGGAGTTCCCCAAGGTACAACCCTCGGTTCTCTTCTCTTTTTACTTTATGTAAAGGAATTGCCAACTGTAGCAAAATCATCCGTTCTACTCTTCGCTGATGACATAAAAATTTGGAGACCCATACACAGTATGTCGGATAGAATAGTATTACAGGATGATCTTAGCTCATTGGTGTCATGGTTGGACAGGTGGTCACTAGAAGTAAATCCTGATAAGAATGTGGTGATGCAATTAAATAACTATGATGATTCGTATCACTACACAATATGTGGGTTCGTGCTACCCAAAGTAAGAAACTATAAAGTTTTAGGAGTTGTATTAAGCAGTGGTCTTAAAACCAGTAGCCACTGTAATGCTGCTGCTGCGAAAGGCTAGAGGGTGTTATGGTCTATTCGTAGGTCTTTCCAGTATTTAGATGAAATGTTTAGATTATTATACCCGATTTACGTGCGACCACATTTGGAATATGGGATTCAAGCAGCGAGTCCTTGTATCAAGTATGAAGCAGGTATGCTGGAGAGTCCAACAACGGGGTACTAAGATGGTAAAAGGTTTATGTGGCCTATTTTATGAAGACAGACTGGGACATGTTAACTTATTTCCGTTATCATACCGTAGAATACGGGGTGACCTAATATCAGCTTATCGTATACTGAACGATGACCTTGGTATTAACATGTCGGTAGGACTCTAATTTATGGACGAGCCAATCAGAACTGTTTGAGGAATTTCAAGGTCACGGCGCTGTCTTATCTTTTACTTCCATCTAGGACTGATCATTTGAGAGGACATTCGAAGAACGTCCAGAAAACCGAGGTCAAATCTTTTACATCTGGAGTTACGTTTCTCGTACCGAGTAGTAAATTACTGGAATTCAGTCAGTAACAACGTAGAACTCCGTACGTACGTACACCAGTTCGAGTTACCACACTACCGGAACAAGTAATATCAGCACCTTTTGTTGATATATTCAAAACGAGATTGAACCTCCACAGTATTAAAAACTGCAAGGATTAATAAAGGTCTATAGATCTCCTCTCCTTACTACTGAAGACTAGGTTTTTACACAAACTGGCTATTTGTATACATTGACTCGATGGTTGGGAAGTTCCAAGCTTACGAAGAGTAAAGGTATATAAGTCCAGATTAGTGTAATGTAGGATTAATTATTGATCTTCATTTGATTACTCAGCATTTGAACACAATAATAATCATATTCACGGAGCAGACCAACTAAACAGATTTGTGTAGTAAGGAGGTGCAACTCATAAATATATGTCGCTAGACAAATAAAAGATATTTATACATATATAGAACATGCAGCAATAATGCCAGATGATGCATTAAGTAAATCCCGACAAATGCAAACAAACCAATTAACGCCTTCATCCCCAACTACCGAATACCGCGGCAAAATACTTCCTCTAAACTTAAATGCCACAGTTACAATATTCACTGTACAATATTGTAATCGACGTCTTCTCAAGAACATACCCAAACGAAACGGAAGAAATAGCATCAGTGGCTTGGGGAATTACAACGTGGTGCTATATAAAGATATCATGATTCTACAGAAATTATCAACAAACGAATGTAAGTTTTTGAATGAAGGCTGGAAGGCCTGAGCTAGTGTTAACAAACATATCTCTCGACTCATCTAACCTTCCTTTAAGTCCTTATGCGGAGATACATTTATTCTCGTGTTAAATCGACGAGGAGCAGTTCTTGATCGTTTCATGAAGAGGCCACTTGATAGGCAAACGTTTCAGGAGACATTAATTTGTAATGACTCACATTTATCACGAGAACACGACTGGTTTAATAAAAACAATTATTATTATAACCAATTGTACCTGTGCTTGTTTAATGTGCTCTTTGTTTAACTGTGCTAATGGCAGCTATATTATGCTTCCATAATTATTATTCACAAACTTTGATTGTGACTTCGCGTGAATTCGGTTACGTTCTGTAACCAAGCTTGTATCCTGGCACGATCTCGGTATCCTTTCGATACCACGAGATCGCCAGCAAATACATATCTCGACTTGGTCCATTACCTGCCTTCTGGTATTTGGCTTCTCGGGGATTTTATAGGTTTCTTTGGTTACGTTCAACCTTCGCCTTCTGATTTATCTGGCACGTGTTTCTTGGTAGCGGTGTTCATAGTTAATCTCAACTCGACGCCACGCTACAAATTGATTCTTTTCATTTTATACCAAATCATTCCGACAAACTACTTGAATCCTTCTAAAACCCCGTGCTCTCAACTTTTCTCACTTCTAATACTTGTCATGAATTATGTTTCTATCAATCAGCATGTGAAAAGATTACTGGTCATAATACCGATTTCTGTTACTCTCTCCCTGTGCTAAACCAATAGTGCGTTAACCAACACAAGAATCATCGGTTCAACTCTTAATCCTCAATGATCCTCCGTACAGTAGCTTTTCGCCTAGCTCAGTCTGTTCAGTCCAGAATAGAAATATAACACTTTGCTGTATGAATCGTATATTTCAGACACACATGGGTTAAATACAAACAGACCAGACCACAACGCTTTCAAGCTTCTTTCGCTTGTAACCCCTATTGGAGGACCATAGGCCGCTTACCACGATTCACTATCAAAATCTGTCTTGGGCGATCCTTTGCGGCTGTTTTTAGTTGCCATTCGTTCTTTCGATGTCTGCTTCCAGTCACCGACGTATTATATCTATTAGTCTCCCTCCTTTACTTTTCGCTTCAGGATTCCAAGTGAACTCTTGCATCGTGATGAAGTTTCGTGACTTTCACAATGCATAACCTATCCACGAACAGCGACTTTTACTTATTTCCTCTTCAACTGGAAAATAGTTTGTTCTGTTCCACAGTAGGTTGTTGTTGATGGTATCCGGCCAATAGACATTCACTATCTTGTTTAAACAACTGTTTAGAAATATCTGTACTACTTTGATGGCGATTGTATTAGTTCTCCAAGTTTCAGCTCTGTATAGCAGAATTAACTGTTTTTACGTTCGTTTTAAAGATCCTGAATTTGATGTTGGTTTACAGACAGTCATTCTGAGCTCCATATGGCCTTCAGTTGTAGGAATGCTGCTAATGCTTTGCCAATCCTCATCCTTACGTCTGCATCAAATTCTCCTTCTCCATTGACTATACTGTTCAGGTACGAGGAAGTTTCCACCTTTTTCAAAGTTTCACCATCAAGTGTGATTGGGTTGGTGTTTTCCGTGTTGTATCTGAGGATCTTGCTTTTTCCGTTGTGAATGTTGAGGCCTGCCAATGCAGAGACTGCTGCCACACTGTTTGTCATGACCTGCATTTGTTGCAGTGTATGTGATGGAAGGGCTTGGTCATCTGCGAAGTCCGGATCGTCTAGCCGCATCCCAACTGTCCACTGTATTCCGTCTTCATAATCCAGCCGACCAAGAGACGAAAGAGAAAGTGACGCTGGTCATTTCTTGAAATACATTTGTTAGCTGACCACCATGCACGACTTTGCGCTGTATTTCGTCGCATGAATTCCATATGATATTGACAATCTCATATGTTCCATAGTGTCAAGGGAGTTTCCATAGAGTCTTCCTATCTAAATTGTTGAATGTTTTCCCATAGTCGAGGAAGTTAATGCATAGTGATGAGTCTGATTCAATCGGTTGCTCAACGATGATCCGTAATGTCGCGATTTGGTCTGTACACGACTGATCCTTATGGAATCCTGTCTGTTAATGTCGGAGCTGAGGGTCTACTTAATCTTCCATCTGGTTCAGCAACACTGTTATAAACGTTTAATGGTACCGATAATAAGGTGATTCCTCTGCAGTTCTTTCATTTGTCACGATCTCCTTTCTATGTTATCTTGGTGAAGTAACCTTCTTTGCTATCTGCCGGTACATGGTCCTCCTTCCAAATCTTTCTCAATAAAATGTGAAACATACTTGCTGTCACTTCTGTGTCTGACTTCAGTGCTTCACCTGGTATATTATCAGGTCCTTTTGATTTCCCAATCTTGATTTCTCCGATGACAATCGTGATTTCTTCGATGGTTGGTGGAGCAACACCTGTAGGAAGATTTATGTGTACTGCTTCGAAGTCCGATGGGTTCAGTGGAGCTGACCTAGTCAAGAGTTCTTCAAGATGTTCTGTCAGTCCGTTCCTTTATTCTCGAATCACAGTGATCGGTTTGCCTTCTTCGTTCTTGATTGGTCTCACTGGTTTAATATATTTCTCTGCCAATGTTTTTGTTGTGTCATATTCCCTTATCTTGTAGAATTTTCCACCGTCGTTGCTAGATCTCCCACGTATTTCTGTTCATCGTCTCTTATGCTCTTCTTTATCCGCTTGTTTTCGTCCGTGTATTTGGCCTGTGCCTTGAATTTCTCTGTTTGTATTCGGCTGTTGTTAATTGCTGTCTTTTTTCTTCTTTTCTTGTGCAGGGTTTCGATAGAGATCCGTTCCTTATGATGATACTTCTGACGGCCCAACACCTCCAGACACGTTGAAGTTAAAGTTTATTTAATCTCCTTCCAGCTGTTATCCACAGTAATTTCTTTTTCTTTCAGTAGATCCTGTAAAACTTGAAACCTTTTGTTGAGAGCTATTTTGAATTTTTCGAGTTGAACAGTATGCTGAAGAAATGCTGCATTGAACCTTTGTATTGCTGTTTGCCCAGTTGTCCAATACTTCACTAGCTTTAGTTTCATCTTGGCCGCAACCAGGTGGTGATTTGAAGCTATGTCAGCTCTTCTTCTGATTCTCACGTCTTCCATTGTCCTTCTAAATTTTTAATTGATGCAGATATGGTCGATCTGTTTCTTCTCCTCCGGGAGGACCCATGTAGCTTCGTGTATGTATTTGTGGGACAATATTGTGCTACCTATAACTTCAGTCTCATTAGTTAACTGATTGGTTATTTAGTTTACGCTGGAAGAACGAACACTTGGGTTGTACCTCAGTCCGTGTGAGTGGGCCGTAACGAGAAGACAGCGATTGTGTACTTTCTCTCTATTCTGAATACCGATTAGTTCCCAGTAGAACCGATGGCCTTCTAACCACCACTTAATACACCAATCAATAAACGACAATCAGCGCTTTATAATGTATTGATCTGAAGCTTCTTCTTACCCAGTGGCCAGTCAAAAGACGAAGATGAAGGGCAGATCAGTTTTCCGTTGTACTGAATTCAATTTTGACTTAAAACCCAAGCAATAATGTATTTGAAATGTCTGACTACATGACAACATTATTAAAAAATTATGGTTTGTACTCAATACCAGACCAGAGTGTTAAGATAATAACTATTTAACGATAAGTCTGGGATATTAATAAATATGACAATAATTTGCGGATTAAATGGAAGGTTAAGGAATAGAAAAATATTAAAGCACTACGATCCACAGTTATATTAGTTATAAAATAAAACAATTCATGATTAGCCTTTTATTACATAATCTCATACGTCATGTTATCTCATTATTCGCCTGAATTATACTACTTTCTTTTCACAGTATTCCTTTTTATGATCTCATTGTAAATTTGAGCACACTCATTTATTTAACTGGTATTGATATTGAAGTTCTAATGTAGGACAACGTATATAAGAGTCAAACGATGACAGAAAGTTAACTGTAAAGAAGTATTTTTTTTCGTGCAATCCGCATTGTTGATCTATTTTTTATTCATTTATGTAACTTAATTAATTACTTATGCCTGTTACTCCTCGTGAAGGAGTACAGGCCGCTCATCAGCATTCTCCATCCAACCCTGTCCTCAACAATCCTTTCCAGATCTTTCTAGTTATAAATCATCCTTTTCATATCTGGTTCAATTTCCCGATGTAATGTGTTCTTTGGCCTTCCTCTTTTCTGTTTCCCTTCAGGATTCCAAGTTAGGGCTTGCTTCGTGATGCAGTTTAGTGATTTGCGTAATGTATGTCCTATCCATTTCCATCGTCTTTTCCTAATTTCTTCTTCAGCTGGAAGTTGGTTTGTTCTCTCCCACAGAAGGCTATTGCTGATGGTATCCGGCCAATGGATGTTGAGTATCTTGCGTAGACAGCTATTTATAAATACTTGTACTTTCTTGATTGTGGTTGTTGTAGTTCTCCAAGTTTCAGCTCTGTACAGTAGAACTGCCTTGACGTTCGTATTGAAGATTCTCACTTTGATATTGGTTGAAAGTTGTTTTGAGTTTCTAATGTTGTTCAATTATAGGGAATGCGGCTGATGCTTTGCCAATCCTCCCCTTTACGTCTGCGTCTCAACCTCCTTGTTCATCCCAGGTACGTGAAGGATTCTACAACTCCCAGAGTTTCGCCATCAAGTGTGATTGGATTACTATTCTCCATGTTATATTTGAAGACCTTGGCTTTCCCCTTGTGTATGCTGAGGCCTACTGATGCAGAAACTGATGCTACATTGGATGTCTTCATCTGCATTTG